AATCAGTACATGCCTCTAGATTGCAATCGTACCTCTCTAAGCCGGAACTCCATGGCTGAGTCCCTATCTGTAACGAATAAACCGAAGTTTCTATCCGTTAAGGCTATACTTGTACAAAAAGGAATACCAGTAACATCTGTCTAAACGTTGTAAAGTACCTCACGAGCTATGTGAGAGTTATTCATCTGAGAAATTCTGACCCGACTCCAAAAATGAAATTGGGATATGCTGCTGCTCTATGAGCCTATTCACGTAACCAAGGCTGAATTGATTTCACAAGGATAAAGTTGTTTTGATTATTTACTTAGACTGAGGGAGAATTCTGATGAGATTGATTACTCGAGGAAATTTTCGTTCGGATTCTTTTATTGAAATGATAGAGAGTTTGATAAGAATGTATATTCAACTGGTTAAGGATTAGTGGAGAATCCGTATTCTATAAAAGCTACTCGAAGATATGGAAGAGTTGATGGAAGTTTCATTTATGCAATTATGTGACATGAATGAATTTCGAGGACGAAATTCTTTTAAGGAGGGGAGAATTGTAACACTTCAATTTAGGGGCTAAATTTAAGAAATTATAAAATGGTGAATTTAATTGGTATTTGGAAGAAATTTGGGGATTAAATTGTAAGATTTCAAAGATGGCAGACCGTTTTAAGAAGTGCAGGAAGTTCAGTGGCTAAACTCTTGGTTTAGCCATTTTTAATTATGAGATGTTATAAACCCCAGACTCCCGTATGTTTCTGGAAAATTTTCCAGTTTTCCTCTCCCGTTCTCCCTACTTCAAAATCCGATCTACTCGCCGTCCGACCTCCAAACGACGAGCCAAAACCACCATCGTGTTCGTTGTCAACCGATGAACAAAACCCCTCAAACCTTTCGTCGTGAATCATCACCGTTCGTCGTGAATTTCAGTCAGAAGTATCGTCGGTAATAACTCGGTTTTAGTTGGTTTTTCATCGATTCACGACGATCGGGTCATCCGTTTACACCTCCCGCACCATCGTGTTCGTTGCATCGTTTCGAGTTTGCCGGTGTCATCCTTGGTCTCCGTCCACGGCGGCGCGTGAGGAGGTGAAGCGGTCAAAGTTTCCGATTCGTTGAAATCGAGCTCTCCGCCGTTTAAAATTGTGAAACGAGCTTTGTAAGTATCTCGAAATCGCTCAAAATAATTTTTAGAAATTTTTCCGGGATTTTAGCACTGTTCACGCGCCCCCACGCCCCGCCACTGCGCGTGGGGAAGGAAAAGGTGACCGGTTTGACCGGTTTTGGAACTGTTTTGACCGGTTTGACCGGTCACGACCCGACCGACCCTTTGACTCGACCCGTTGACCCGTTGACCCGTTGATCGTTGACCGGCGTTGACCACTGTTGACCAAAACTTTGACCGGCTTTGATCGTGCATTAAACGACCTTTGACTTCAACCGAGTATACCTATCCTGACATTTTTCGACGTTCCAAATCCGATTCCGCTGTCCGTTTTTCGAAATTCGAACCCGAAGGTCTCGAAATTCCTGGTCAAACCCGTTGACTTTGATTTTGACCAAAAATTCCAAATTTCCGAAAAGTCATATTTTATGCTTTCGACGTCCTGAATCCGAATCCGAATTCCGTTTCGCCAAATTCGAACCCGTTAAGCCGTCTTTCACTAATTTATCACCCGATTCGATCCGTTTATCGTAATTAAGCTCTGTTTCTGATATAATTTATGTTGATATGTATCTGAGGAATTATTGGAAGTTGAATTGAAGATCAAAGACGTTCGAATGGAATTTTTATGGTCGATCAATAGTGCACGGAAATCGAGGTAATAATTTACTACCTCTTTATGCTTTATGGAACATGTTGGTATTGATAAATGCATGAATGGAAATGTTTGGTCTCATATGTGTAATTAATGAAGATCTACACTAGGTACGAATACGGTAGAAAGTAGATAACTGAATATGGCTCAGATGACTATTATAAGAAATTGGAGGACGGTTTGAATTAAATTACAAGTTCTGGAATTAAGTAATAAAAGAATTAACCATGGATTGTAGATTATAATTTATCTCATTAAAGGTACTTAGATGATAAATTAAAGAATATTTCGATTAGGGAAAATTACGAAATTACCCTTATGTTGGAAAATGATAAGAATTGTCTCTGGAAGTGGATTAATAAATCTGAAAAGAATTATTGATCTACTAAAACTATTGATGTGCATAAGAAATGTTAGTTTTACTTGGAAATTATGGAGAACCGGTTTTTAACCCCAAGAAGGTTTATGCAAGATACTAGAAGTGTGTTAAGGGAATTATTTCAAGATCAGAGATTGTTCAAGAAAGCAATTAATCATAGGATCTCTAAATTATATCATTTTCGTTAAGAGCTATCGAACTTATCTGGCTAAGAAATTACGGAAATGCCTTAAGAGGTAGAATAGTCTGAGATGACTCTGAATGAGAAAATACTTAGAGGATTCGTACTTAACTCGATTAAGTACGGATTTAATTGTTAAGATCCCGACTTAGTGCAGGAAAATTTATGATATTCCGTTTGTAATGTCTGAGAAGACACTTGACCTGAAAATATTCGAATAATGAGTAAATACTGGAAGAGTAATTTATCGGGGGTATTCTGCTGTCAGAATTGTTCGAAAGGACTGAAGTAAATGATAAGATTGAATTAAATAATAAGATCGGATGGAAGGAAAAGATTGAAATACCGTAGATCTGTAAAATGACCAAAATACCCCTATATTGGAAATGACCCAAGAATATCACCAAGCTCAGGAATGATTGAATATCCTCGAGTTCTGAAATGAATGGAATAAAACTGAACATCAAAATTACCAAATACCCTTATGGCCTAAATTAAGTAAATGTCTTGGATTAATTAAGGAATCCAAGTAAGCATAGGTATTGGACTACCTTTAAAGGTAATGGAAAATAATTTAAGTGAGTAGATCAACCCTAAAGCTATGTCAATACCTGAATGGCATAGATATTACTGGAACATATGTTCGTCTTCTCAAGTTTGGCTCGATGACGAATCTTGGAAGTATTCAGTTCAGCTCAGATCTAGATCGTATTCAGTACTAAGAATTGGACGTTTGTTCAACAATCAACCACGAAGACCAAATTGAATGGGATGGAAGTACAACATGTACCTGAAATATCAGTAGGATCTCTGCTCAACATAAAAATCTGTAAATATCTGAACCAATAAGGAAAATATGTTTATCTGTATCTGCACGTTTTTCAGCATCATCTGGTAGTTCTGTATTACTGAGCTTTCCAAAGCTCACTCTATTACTCACCTTTTCAGGTTAAAAGAATTGTACCAGTGCATCTATCAACTTCAGTAAGGGAGTTCTTCCGGTGTTTGTTGCAGAGTATGGTACATGTGATTAGGGGGCATGTAATTGTATTTTGATTTATATACGAGTCTGGAAATCTGTTTTATTTTTAAATAGTGACAACTGATTTTATAAGTTACATGTTTCAATAAAAGTTTTAAAATTTCCGCTATTTTTACAGTGGGTCACTCAGGTGGCCCTAATGTGACTTCCCGGATCGGATCGGGCTACCCGCATCGGTCTAGGGGTTACAATTCATTTTTCATTTGTTCACTTCAAATATTCTTTAGGTTTTCTTTTATATGTCTATTGCTTTGAGACGTCAGAGTGATTCATCTTTTTATTTCTTATGCTCTTACTCATCGGACTGTCACTGATCTGTTATATTTTGCTTATGATAGACATAAATATATTTGTCATGTATGCATGCAGTAAAAAATTATTGATGTTTTATTCGACTCATGAATATATTATAATTATACTTAAAAAAATCTGAAGTTATATAACACTGCAAAAAGAGTTAAACTTTCCAACGTAACAACAATTATGAATAACTAGATTTTGTCGTATAGAGAGAAAAAATATATTAAAAATCTAGACCATCAACCATGGCCTTTTATAATTAATTTTAAATTGATTATTTACTTAATTCGTAGAACGAGCAACAAAAAACATATATTTTATTAATGACAGCCCCAGTTTTAGACTGACAATGACATCAAACAACTTTGACAAATCCCATGCTATTGGTGGAATTAGAAAAGACCGATTAGAGCAAAAATTTTCCAAGTAAACTCGTCCACCCAAAATGCAATTCAAACACAAGTCAAAAAATTTTCCCATACTATCTACAACCCATATAAATATAGATGGAATTAATTGAGAGATTCGTATTCCATAAGTGGTAATTGAAGAATCAAGTTACAGAGTAGTCTGAATTAGATGGTGAGACCTATGAAGCACGGGGAAAGCAAAGGAGCCCCGTTTCAAGTATCTGATATGTTTTGGGCATGGGACGGCTGAGATACAACCGGGGACATGCCACGGTGGTAGGATATGGTTGACCAAATTCGGAGACGGTCAAAACTTACTTGGGGATGTTTTGAGGAGTATCACAGTGCTGCGAAAGGGGCGACACGGCGATGAATGAATGAACGACGGCTAGGTTTTGTGAAAAGAAAGAAAGAAAAGGAAGAAGGAACAGGCCGCGCGGGGGATGGGAAGGATAAGAGAGAATAAAATTTAAATAATTTTTGGTTTAGTTGTCAGTTGATCTTTGAGCATTCTAAGGCTTTCGAATCTGGCAATAAGTTTTGCAGTATTTTCAAATTAGCCACCAAAATTAATTTAGGGATTTAGAAAAAAATTATCATATGTTAGGATTTTTAATTAGATTTAAATTAGGGTGTTATACCAATTTTATATAAAGTATTGACTTTATTTATGATTATTTACATCTATTTATAATTTAACTTTTTTTATATGCCCTACCCTTGCCGTTCCTATATCCTATAATTTTAGAAATTATCGTTTCTCGTCCCAGTCCCCGCATTCGTTCCCGTATCTGTATCGGTGCAACATAGGGTGAGACAGCCATATCTAAAGAAAGGAACGTGGACTATTGATGAAGACCACAAGCTGATTGCTTATATCATGAGATATGGCATTTGGAATTGGAATGAGATGCCCAGATTTGCTGGTATGATCACTTCAATGAACAAGATGTAATGAAAAACTTGAATTTCATATCAACATTTATTTCTTATTAGCAGTTTGCTTTGATTTGTAGGGCTGCAAAGGTCACGGAAGAGTTGCAGGCTTCGTTGGATGAATTACTTGAGACCTGATATAAGGCATGGAAACTTCACCAGGGAAGAAGAAACCATAATCCACTTTCAAAAGAAGCTCGGAAATCGATGGTCAGCCATAGGAGCAAGGCTTCCACACAGAACTGACAACGATATCAAAAAAAATACTGGAATTTTCGCCTGAAGAAAGGGGTAGTATTGAAGAATAGCAACTCAGCATCAGCAACCACAGAAACCCAATCCAGTATTGAGGAGAATTCGTGTAATGCTGAATCCTCAAGCTTGCTGATTATTCCTACAATGGATGACTTCCCAGAACAATCGAGTTACAATAGTACTTTTTCTTCATCTGAAAACTATTGGGAGATGCTGAGTTTTATGGAGCAGCCATTAATAGCACAAGGCTTCGAATTCGATTGTGAAGCATCAGCAACCACAGAAAACAATTCCAGTATTGAGGAGAATTGGTGAGATGCTGATTCCTCGGTCTTGCTGAATATCCCTACAATGGCCGACTTCCCTGAATCATTCGCTTACAGCACTACTTTTTCTCCATCAGGCTGCCACCAAACTGTGGAAGTTGATAACACAGAAAGCATGAGGGAAAATATTGTTTCGTCTGAAAACTATTGGGAAATACCGAGTTTTTTTGGAGCAGCCATTGAGGGCAGAAGGTTTCGATTGCGAAGCATTGTGGACTGTGGTACAGCCAACATCAACACCTCTATGATCCTCTGGACGATTTCTGGGCCACTCCATTAATTTAATAATAGCAGTGCATATCTAAATTATAGTATTAATTTTTAATAAAAAAATAGTATTAATTTGCGACGACAAAGTAGCGGTCATTTTATAACGATTTTTAAAGTAATTTTGATATCGCAATCACAATTTGTAACTATAGTGATTTCATAACAAAATAAATTATGACTTAACGTTCAAAATAACTATAATCGTCCTCCTTTTTTACTTCTTTACAGTTTGTATATTTTTTTATAAATTATATTATTTTTTCTTTGATTTTGTTTAGTCCATTACGATATCAATTTTGATATTGGTGATCGACGATCAGTTATCTTTGTGACACGTTTCTCTTTACCTTAATGACATATTTTTCTCTACGTTTGTGGCATATTTTTCGTCTTCTTTCTCAGTTATTTTATCATTCTTTTTATTTTATGTTTTCTCAAGATAGAATTTGACGAGGTCACGACTTATCAAGATGACGCTTATTTGTAATCTTGTTGATATTTTATGCTATGGACCTTCAAATTGAATTTGGATACACGATTTTGTGTTTGTGGATAGTTTCTCACGATGCTAGGCTCTGATTTGAGGTTCTCAATGGTCTTTCAATAACTTGATCCTTTTTTTGTGGTTCGTTTGTCGATGCATTCAGATTTGTCTGTATCTATTTTTTGTTCGAGTTTTTTGCTTAGATTTTTAACATTTTCCATGTACGGTCCTTATATGACACAAAGTGATTAGTTTCAATGTTATAAAAAATATCTAAAGTATGTATTTAATTTACGATGATAGTAAACCTTATTGTAATTTTAGATATTTCATTTTTTAATAAGGATTCTGTTATAAGAAAAAAAAACGTTTACAATCGTAATTTTGTAATCCCACCTTAGATTGTAATTTAACATTATATTATAAACTAGAGACTTTTATTTTATTTTGAGATTTTGATTGATTGTGTTAGGGGTTTTTTTTCAATTTTTTAAAATATGGATCATAATAATTATTTTTTATTAGTCTAAAGTGATTATAAGATAGTATTTATTCTAAAGATTCTCAATCATTTGATAATAAACGCTCAAATACTCTTGATGTCTTTAATACACAAATGACTTGATTATTTTTAAATACTCTTGATCTCTAGAGATAACAACCATTCATTCAACCACTGAAATGACTTGATTTGTGCAAAATTATAAGATATGATGTTAAAGCATAGTTGTAACATCCCAAACAACGAGCTAGTGACTAAAGTGTAAGATTTTAAAATTTTGTGATTATTTTGATAAATTCAAAAGTTTAGGGATTTAATTGGAAATTATTGGTGTAAGTTTGATTAGCAAAGATTGAAAGATGGAAGGGTATAATGGTCTTTATACAAGGAAATGAATTTAAAATTCATTAATGGTGTATTATAAACACGTGGAGAAGAATAAAAGAGGAAATCGAGAATTCTCTCTTCTTCATCATTTCTTCCTCCTCTCCACCGTGAGTTTTTGGCTAAGGTAAAGAATCTTTAACTTAGTTATTTCTTGTAATTTTTGATTCGTTCTGATTATTGGAGTATTAGGGAAGCTTGAGAAAGCTTAAAGAGAAGTAGAAACCAAAATATTGATAAATTATTGGTGATTGAGTAAATAGGGTTTTTGAGAGGATTGATGAGAACTGATGAGTAAATGGATTTTGAAGATAAATTTGACATGTCATGTAACATCTATGGGTTAGTGACCAAATTGTAAAGTTTTAGAATTTGGTGACTAAAGTAAAAGAATGGATTAGTTCAGTGATTTATTTGGAAGTATTTCCTAAAAGTTGTTAGTAATTATTAAAGGAACTAAAGGGTAAAATGGTCATTTGATCATTTAAGGAATTAAAAAAATGTGATAGTGGGGATATATATTTTACACGTGGGAAATGAGGGAAACAATGTTTCCAGAATTCTCCTCTCCTCCTTCTTCTTTGTGCGTGAAACTCCAGCTCAAAGGTGAGTTTCTTAATTAGTTGGTTATTTGTTGAATTAAAAGTTGGGTTATGATTCTTAGGTGATACTTAAGCTTAAGGAAAGCTGAAGTTATCTTAAAATCAAAAGATAAATGAGTTAGGGAAGATTAAAGATTTGGAGTTCTTGAGTGAATTTCCAGAATGGAGTTGATAAGTTGAACTTGAAGCTAAATTTGACTTGTCATCAGCTTAATTAAGAAGTATTAAGTGTTAGAATTGGATTTGAAACATGTGGAAAATAGGGTATGATTCTTGAAATTCCTAAAGAGGAGAGGATATTAAGGTTACAGATGAGATAAATGAATATTAATGAGTTTAAGTATGTATATGAAAGTTAGGAATATGAAAGGGGTTGAAATATGAAGGATTTAATCCAAAAAGAATGAATTTTCGGGGTTCAAAAAGAGGTTCTGGGCAGAGTGCATCGATGCACATTCATAGTGCATCGATGAATCAAGGTTAAAACCCAGAAATCGTTTGAAGGTGTATCGATGCACAGGAAGTGCATCGATGCACTCTTTTAAAATAAATACATTGAATGCAATTCGTGCATCGATGCATAAGTAGTGCATCGATGCATCCCAGTAATAAACAAACATCGAATGTATTTTATGCACCGATGCATCAGTAGTGCATCAATGCATACCTTCATTAAAAGATGAAATTGCCTTTTCTCTTAGTCTAAAGAGTGAACCATTAGAGTATATTAGTTATAATACTAATATAAATCTATGTATGATGATGTAGATATAGAACGTGATCCCGTTCCGGATCAATTGAAGGATTATAATTGAATCAAAGCAAAGCTAAGGTGAGTGTACATTCTCTAGTATATGAGGTTTAAGGGAAAATAAGACTTGTGATAAGTCTATTTCCAATAGTGAAAAACATGAATTCATATAAGTATGTATTTGTTATGATTTATATGTGTGCATGAGTATATGTGTTATTGATATGAATATGGTAAGTAAAAGGGATTAATGATGATGATAAGAATAATAATAAGGATAATGAAATGATAGGTATATGTGAATATAGGTATTGATGTGTTTTGTATGTATTGTAAGATGATATGTTTATGTGATAACATGATAAGATGACAATGATGTACATGTCATATGAACACATGAGAAATGTTATGAGCCATATGAAAGAGAAAGTATATGTGATACATGAGGATGAATCCTATGTTTATATGAATATGAGCTCATATGAGAATTGACATGAATTACGTGATTACATGTATATGTGAATGAAACCATGAGCTTATATGAATATATGATATGGTTACATGAATATGTAAAAGGATATAAAAGATAATACCCATGTTATGTGTCATGAGAGCTAGGGGTATAGTTGGCATGCCAAGAGTCGAGGGTCTATGTGGTCCTTCGGGACATATATGTATTCTTTGGAACATGTGTGAAGTCTGGTGAGACACATACTTGATCCTTGGTATATGTATATGATTCTTAAGGAATGATATGTGGTCCTTCGAGACATATATGTATTCTTTGGAACATGTGTGAAGTTTGGTAAGACACATACTTGATCCCTAGTATATGTATATGATTCTTAAGGAATGATATGTGGTCCTTATGGACATTATTATATGGCACTACAGTGCAATTCTACGCGGCACTCCGGTGCAATTATATGTGGCACTTCGGTGCAATTATATGAGCTGTGGTGACAGCATTAGTGCACAACCTCTATGTACTCGCATATCTTTAGTTCTCACATGTGTATCATGGGCTATTAAATAGATAATATTAATAACGTGATATGATAATATGTTTGTTTCCTTGTGGAATTTCATGTGTGATATTGATTGTACAAATGGTAACTTATAAGACCATATGATGAAAGGAATCAATGATAGTGATAAAATAAGAAAGAAATGAAGATGATAATATAGTTGCTTGGGTGTACGTGTTTTATGATAGTATATATATATGGTTTACATGACATGATATGTATATGTGCAATTGGTTATGATATATGTTATATGATATGGACATAAGAGATCATGGGAACATGAGATAAGAGATATGAATGATAATGACATATATGTATGCATATATTTGTTACATGTAAAAGTATGAGTGGTATGAAATGATAGTAGTAATTGTTTAGGTATGATTATTAGTTACTGTTTACCTTATATGTTTATATGCCTCACTAAGTCTTTGACTTAGCGTGTAAGTGATTTACACGTAGGTTTCGAGAAGAGTAAAGAGCAATGTGGAGCAAGACAGGTCAGTTCTCCTTACTAAAGGTCAGATCAGAAAAGATGTGAATAATATGTATTTTAGTATATAAAGTTCTAGTTGACATGTTTTCAAAAGAATCTATTGTTTAAGCTATGAACAGTTTTATAAATGTTTCGAATAGTTATATGTAAATAAATAAGTGAAATATACATGCTCTGATTGGTTTTGTAATAATGAAAATGTTTTTTATGTAAATTAGTCATTTATATGTTATAAAGGTTTTAAATTACTCACTATTTTATACAAGTACATGTTTTAAAAGGTCAATGTGACACCTCAGATTCGTATTCGGGTCGGATACAGGTTGGGGTGTTACATGTCATCAGTTAGAATAAGAAGTTTAAGATGTTAGAAAGGATTAAGAAACAATGTTGAATAATTGGGATGATTTTTAGTTTCAAGTGATTTAGTGAGATTTTGGATGTTTAGATGTGTTAAAGTGATATAAGTTGG